CACACTCGTTCCTAAGAGCTTATTTTGGGAACCAAGCAGCCAGACCCTTGGGACCAGAGCTAGCTCTTTGCATGGTACTGATCCTCTTCCAAGGCTTTCTTCAGTCTCCTGAAATGCCCTTCAAACCTTGCCCTGAACTTGTAGGCTTGAAAAGTTAACCACAACTAGGAAAAGTGAAAGGCATGTGCATGCCCGCCCCTTCCCCTGATGCTGATCACGAGCAGCTTGAAGCTTGTGGCTTGGCCTTAGGGGTCTGCATGGCCATAGCTGCACCCAGACATGGCTGCTGTCCCCGAACACATACTCTGCCTCTCTGCAGACCTTGCCTTAGTTACTGCCAGTAACCCACCTCCGATACCCAACCTAAAACCCTAGAAACCACTTGCAACCCTGGAACATGAGTTCTCTGCCCTTTTTCCCTCAGCACTCCTTCGAGGCCGGCAGCAACCCCGGCAGACACAGCGCCTTTATTCAAAAACAGGCCCCAACTCTGACAAATGCTTTGGCGATGTGGCCTCTCTTATCTTAATAAATTCGTTATGTCAAATCTGTTTTAGCTTAGAAGGTAAAACAAAAACCTGCTCCGCCAGCACCCCCACCCCCTGTGCGCGGAGGACCGAGCCAAGCCTTTGTTTCCCACCACCAGCCCCGGGAAGGTTTGTTCGGCCCTGGGAGCCGGGCAGAGACAGGCGCCGTCCAGCTCCCCAGGCTGTGCCGGGCTTCGCCAGGCTGCCCACAGCAAGAGAGAAAAAAAAAACCTCAGTGTCACGCCGAGCGGACACGTCTGTCAACGCACGCCGGCTGCGAGCTGTTACGCGGGAAGGTGCTATCTCCACAGTTTGACCACAACTACCACCATCAACAGCTCAAGCCTCTTAAAGAGGCTTGTTGTTTACTCCAGGCTCTCACAGCACAGCGATACTCCTTGTAAGCACTGTTTGCCAAGTCCCAAAAGCCCAATTACTGCTTGAACTTTTCCAAGCCCAGTCTCTCCCTTCAACAGCATTAGTCATTCAGATGCTATTAGCATCCTCCCCCCCAAAAAATTGCACATTCTTACATGGAGCCACGGGGACAGGCTTGGATCCTCGTTCCCTGGATGCCACTCACGCTCTGAAGTCAACAGGGGCTGCACACAGGCAGCTCAGTTATTGCCACCAAGACTGTTGTGGCCACTGAGACTATTGTGGCCACCCAGACAAACAAGAAGGCAAAAGAGAAAATAAGCATCTGTGTCCTCAGAGAAGAAAGGACGGACTGCCCGGCACTTCAGCAGACTTGAGGTTTTGGAGAAAACGCAGGCTTCAGAGGCACCACGAGTGCTCTGAACAAGTCAGAGTAGTTAAACACACAGAGACTGAGAAACCTCTGTCCTTGGATTTAATGGATAGTCAGCAATGACACAGGCACAGGGTGACGAGAGGGAAGGACGACTTACCTGTTGGGGGCTGCCCAGAGCAACTTCCCGAGATAAACATCACCTCCCTGACACACCACCACGCTGACCAAGCCTGTGCCACGGTGCTGCTAATGAAACAGCACAATCCTGGGAGAAAGGAGCCAGTAAAAACAAGCCGGTGCTTTACGCTCATGTTCTGGCAGGACAGTACAAACGGGTCACCAAGAGAGGAAAGCAGAGTCGTGCTTTCCTCGCTGCTTGGAAGCCAGGTGGTGCAGAGTCAGCCCTTGGCCCGGGTGGGGGAAAATAAGCTGAAGGAGCCCACTAAGTCCTTTCAGAAGTAAAGCCATGCTGATGTTGTCAGTTGGTAACAAAGAAGCTGCAGAAGGAACAGATATAGTGAAATATACTATTTTATTGCTGCACACATGCTTACACATTTCTTCTTAAATATATTGTTGCTCTGACAAATTTTACAATCTTCTTAATTCAACAAGTGGCTAGTAGTAAATAAAAAGGACAGAGGCAACAGAACACAAAAAGGACGCTGGCAAGAGAAGAAAAATCAAAAGGTTTTTATTTTGTGATAAAATTATTTGCAGCAAGAATAAAGTGAATTCAAATCTAAGTTTTGACCTGGCTCATCTTAATTAGAGAGCTTGCCTGCATGCTGACCATCTGCTTATACATGCTTTTTGATAGCCCTATTTTGCCAAAAGGGATGGGGGGGGCGGTTAAAGGACCCCGAGTAATTGGACAGTCTGACAGGGCTCACAGATGTGACCACTAAGTGCACGCAGACAGATGAGGCATTTGCTTGGCAGCCCACGTGGAACTGCGCTACTGGGGAGGCAGATCAAAAGGCCACACTGACCTTTCCTCCCATGTGTACGACTGCAGCCTCACTTGCTCCACGCTTAAGGACGCAGGAATGGAATTATTCAAGAGCATCCATGTGGAAAACTCTTCCAAGCACCGCCGCCCCTCCTCTACCTTCCTCCTGCTTTGCCCACTACCAGTGTCCATTTTGCTTCAGCAGCTGATGCATCTGCAGAGAAAAAGCATTAGCACGTTCCTCGGTAATCCTGTTTCTGCATCTCATTCAGTACAAGCAGAAGGCAAAGGCCATGTTCTGTTCTCTGGTGGCTCCATGCAAGCCTTGTGCAGGGCTGTCACAAGTACTGCTGTGGAAAGCTGACTACCAAGATGTCAGATGCAGAATTTATGCCAGAGGAGCAGAGGGGACATGATAAACTAAACATCCTGCTTACGTTCAGTGTCATCTTCAGCCATAAAGGGAGGAGAAATGCAGGGGAACTGAAGCAGCCGGGTTAAGCTGTTGGTTTCCGTAGCAGGCTTTCATGAGCCTGACACTCCACTGAGCAAGAAAACAGGCAGTTCTGCTTCCACGCTTCTTTCCCCAAAATGGGGACTTCATATTAAAGCTTTCTCAATAGCCCTTCCCCTCCTCAAGTTTACTGATGTCTTTATCAGTTCAAGTTGTGCTGGGTTCTTTGGTGGTCCTGTCAAAGCCATACCAAGCTTACAGAGGGACATGGAGGTACATTCCACAAATCACACAACAAACACACAGCTCCTCTCCATGTCACCACCCCAAACAGAAGCACACTTCCACTGCTCCCTGCTTCCATACAGCAATGTGCCCCTGCAGGGACACATCCTCTTCCCTCACCCTAATATGGCTGCAGAAAACAAACCACAAGAACTCCTTGCACTTCCTCACAAGCATTTTGAAACAGAAGAATTGAAGTATGCCCTGCTTGAACAGCCCCGCAGCCACCATCCCATGCCCCGAAGAGACTTATTCTGAAACAGAAACCAGTTAAACACAGATGAAAGTGCACAAGCATCTGGGGTCCAGTTAAGTCAATGCACCCTATTCCTGCCCACCAGCTCTGTCCCCAGCTTCTGGTGAGTGCAACTCAGTCCTGACACATGATTTTGCCAAAGTCCAGCTTCTCTCGAGTACCGCAGCCAAACCTCAGTGCCTGCTCTCCACTGCAATCGAACCCAGCCTGCCTGGTGCAAGTAGTGCCCAAAGCCTGCCCACGTACATGCGAACAGCTTCAACGCATGCCAGATACAGGCAGATGCTCTGAGCAGGGGCAGTAAGGCTGCAGTTCTGACATGGTGTGGGAGCAGTAGTCTCTCACCTGGTGAGATTAGCAAAGAAGAGGAACCCATCCTCCCAGTACATCCACACCTGAAGCAAGTCCCTGCTAAACACTGGATCTCCAAACCCCTTCCTTATCCATGTGAAGCACCACTACCATTACAGAAAACAACACCCTGAAGCTGTGGGGGATCCATGCCTAGTTCCCACCTCAAACACAAGAACACCGGAGATGGATTATCCCAGGCTCTTGCCTCACAAAGTGCCCAAAATGACAATATGTGTTAGTAATGGCAGCCCACTACCTGTGCAATATTCTCTATGTGCTTCACACAATGCCTCTTCTCCCTCCCAACTCACGGCACAGCAACATATGCCCAGCCTCTGCCTTGGAGACCCAACTCTCTAATGTGCCATTCTGGAGAGGAAAAGCCCTGAGGGCAGCCTATTTGGCAAGGAAAGCTTTATGCAGGGGTATCGCCTGCTGATAAGTGCCAAGGAGAAAGAACATCATTACCCTCATTAGGAGTCTAGGGAGACAACACGACCTACTGCAGAACACAGATTCAAAAACATTCATTAGTACAAACAGTGAATTTCCTGGAGAACAATGAAGCTACAAGGCTCAAGGCCCAGCAAACTCAGAAGGTCGATGAGTGGGACAGCTGCCCTGCAAGAGACCCAAAAGGCCCCTTTTCCGTTTAAAAAAAAGATTTCTGGTGACCTCTCTTCCCTGACCCACCAGTTTTGCACTACCACAATGGACAAAAAGAAAGGGAAAAGTGCTGTTTCCAAGAAGAAGGTGTTTCCTTCCCCTGTGAGGAAGAAAAGGGATGCTCTCCCTTTTTTATGCATTGAAAGATACTGCTTTCTAAGAATGGAAGGACTCTAGTCTCTACTATATTCCCAAAGATGTCCATTAAGAAAGCAAACCTTTTAAATTCTGAGCACTTCAAAGCAATGAAGAGCTAGGGAAGACCTGGAAATCACTTTGGTTTTTTTGATCTAAGAACTTGAATAGCAGGTGAAGACAGTGCCTTCCACAAAGCGAAGTACTCCTGTGTCCCTGTTAGGGAAGCACTGCCCACCTTTGCCAATCTTATAATGCTGACAGTGAAAGAAAGGCCATCCCCCTTCTACTATACTTATTTGGAGAGTTTAATCCAGTTTTGTTCCTCTGCTGGTGGCAATTCAACAAATACCCTGGCATGAAGCAGTTTCAGAGAGGATGGGTCCTAACACCAGGCAGTAGCAAGTCTCCCAGCACAGCTCCCTTACCACCCCCAACAGCTTGCAGTCTCCTATCCGCACTGTATTGTACAAAGGAGCAGCTACTGATTTGGGCTGAGCTTTGGGAGCTACTTCTGAAAGGAGAAACAAAAAACCAAATAAAACCACACACAAACCAGACATGCAAATGTACAGACATAAATAAATTAAAAAGAAACCATGCCTGAAAGTGGATGGGAAGGAGGACAAAGAAGAACAGAGACATTCAGAGACTCAGATGTTCTTGCACTCCGAGCAAACCCAGTGGGGGCTATGCAGGCTGCATGTGACAGGCAGGGTTTGCACACATCAGCACTCAAGCCCTATACTGGCCAGGAGGTTTTCCAGAGCTTCAAGTTTCTGGTTGGCTTCCTCAATGGCACTGTAAGTCTGCACGTTGCTGGTGATGTGGAAGCGGATGTCATCGACCAGAGGAATGGAGTCAGTCTCCTGTCGTTCTTCCACGGCCTCCGCATTCTCCTTCACAGCAGCCACAAACTCCTCCAACTCCACCAGCTGGATGTGGTGGAAAAAGAGAACCATTAGGAAGACAAGACGACAGGTAAAGGGATGTAAAGGATTGTGATAATGGACTCGGCCACTATTGAGGGATCCCACAGTAAAAAAGGGAATGCTAAGGGGTACATGGAGACCCAAATCTTCCTCTTTCTCCTACGGACACCACTTGGAGATGCATCCTGCCCTTCATCCTAAGGAGACAGTAATACTCCAACAATTGATGGTCACAACTGTAAGCAATCTGCACCCCAAACGGCACACTAATACCCACTAACTAAGCATCCATAGTTCTGGTATTGGGGCACACAAATATACACAGCATTCCCTCCAGAAAGGATCCCCAGCAGCAATCAGGAGATGCTACCAAACATTTCCAGGAAATGTCTTGCAAGAGGCAAGACAGTGGGTGCTTGTGCCCAGTTCAGAACCAGGAGCTGCAGATGATTCTATCCACACCACAGCGCTCAGCCCCACCACCAACAGTTGACCAGCAGATCACAGCAAGGCAGGTACTCTGTTCTGCACTGAACTTGACAGAATCAGGTCACCCATGAATGATTTTGCATCAAGTTCCCCAGGAACATGTGGTCTGCTGAAGGGTGAGAGGCAGCTTCCATCTCTCTACGCTACTGAACTGTGCCTGGGCACAGCAGGTTGTTGAGCCTTGCTTTATGCTACACATAGTGCCAAAAATCTCTCCCTGTTCCCTTCATCAGTGCATCAGTACTGGCAGCTGCTGATGTCTGAACAGCTGGGCTGGCTCCATTTGTGCCAACGCCCTTAGGAAGGCACACTGCCAATGCTGGGTCCAAGGACTCCCACTCAGGCTAGAGAAGGGGAATGCAACAGGAACACACAAGCAAGGCCCTACCTTGCCCAGTTACTACTTGGGATATTCATCAGCTTTCAAACCAAATCGCTTTTTCAGAAGCCAGAATCTGGGTGCTTGCTGGTGCATCTTATCATCCCCAAGCTATACACTGAACAAAATAACATGCCCAGAGTAACTTCCTTTGCTGTTTGCACATGCCAAAGAGAATTACACACCTTTCAAGCACGTGAAAATGTTACATTCCCAAGTGAACTCTATAAGCCATTTATACAGATCTGTCTCAGGATAAAACCACCCCATAGATTCTAGTTTTCCCTTCTGTATGGCAACTGTCTCCACAAGTCCTGAAACTTCAAGCTATAACCACTCAGGACTATACTTAAATGGAGCCCCATAAAGAAAACTTCAGTGTTAGATTCATTATTTTTGGCTGTTCAACTGCCAAATTTCCCCTGTGAAAACCCCTACTGTCAGATTTGTCATCCTGGAGGAGAGTAGAGATCTCATTGATTACTCTTTTCTATAGCATTATGCCAGGACAAACTCCCTCCAGCAAACACCGAAAAACATTTATTGCACAGAGCTCCCCTGCACATTCCATTGGGTTCTCCAGGCTGCAGCTGGCGTACTCAGGCAACACCATTGTTGATCTGGGCACAGTGGCTGAAAGCTCAGTGAAAGTCACCTGCCCATGGCACTTGCAGAACTTTTTGGGTGGGTTTTTCACCTCACAGTCCACAGGGATGTGCTAGCCAGCCACCAGCATCTGGCTTACTGCAGCAACATCAGATACTGCCACACTCCCCATCTTCTGTCCTAACTCACCATGTACTTTGCTACTTAACTGCTGCTCCATTGTCCGTTGTATCTATGGCTCACCGTACAGTTAGATTTACAGGCACGTGTGGTAAGTACAGTGGAGAGTGTTTCTCCTACCTTCTCGATGATCTTTGCCATGTACTCCGTGCACTGGTCTTCCAGCCGGGTCAGCTGGAACAGCTTTGCAATCCTCCAGATGCTGACAATGTTGTCCTCATCAAGGATCTGAGACAAGGTCCTGCCGCAAAGACGCTTGAGCCCAGGCAGCAGGTACATGTCTGCCACACACAGCACGTCGTAGGCGTTTTCCGGGGACAGCTGGCAATGGGAAGAGGGGAATTACTGTCCAGTCCTACCCACTTCACTTGTCTCTGGCAAACTGCCGCCTTCTCATGTGTTTTAGCAGAGATTCCCTGAAGTGTCGTTTGGCCCATCACCGGACAAGTGTTAAGAGTACTATGGAGAGACAGGAGCTCAATCTTTCAGTGCTAGGTCTTCCACTCAGTTACCACAGAGGAGTTTAAAATGCTGCTGAGGCAGCTTGCTCAGCACAAAGCATGAAGTTTGCCATGCTACAACTAACCCACTAGTTAACCCCAAAGCAATGCTGAAACACTGAAGTGCAGCCAAAAGCTAGCTGCTAAGAAATGTTCAACGTGGCAGTGGAAGGAGGTAGCTTTTACCAGAGGTACTGAAAGCCCTTCAAAGAGACAAACAGAACAGGCTGGCAGGATAGAGCACCTTGTCCCCACGAGGACTCTTCCTCCCATTTTGTACTGCTGGACTTGCATTTTGTGAAAAAAAGTGGAAAATCCTCTTACGTTCCTTCCTCAAACTGGCTCTGCTAATTCAGCCAGCACAACCTCCCTGGCACAGGCAAACATCCAAGGACAGAAAATTGCATCCCAAATAAACTGTATGTGAGGCCCAACTAGGTAAGGAACAGACTCTGCATATCAAATACTCACGGAGCTCTAACAGGCTTTCAAACTGGACTAAAGTCATGCACCAGATGCTCAAGCTTACACTGTTGTGAATTGTCTTTAACATTTTCAGGCTCTTGAGCGAGAGAACCACCCTCCCATTTCCCTCTTGGGTACTTTTTTTCCTTGCAAGTGATCTGAGGATAAAAAATGCTATAGATGGTGTAGAGACACCACCTCCAGCTTCACTCAGTCTCTTCCCCCTGGCTGGGCAAATCCTATTTTAGTCAGCCATCTGCGTCACTAACCTGGAACTAGAGCCTCTCTCTGCACAGTTCTGTTCCTGCTAATGTGAAGTGCAAAGAGCACAGTTACCCACATTCTTTTTAACAGCAAATCTGCAGGGTGCAGCATACCCTGGCTGTGGAAGCAAGATCACTTGGATCTAGAGACCAAGCCACACTGGTCTAGATTGAGGAATGGTAACTCCAGTGCAGTGTGGTCCACTGCCCTGATAACCGGTCAGCAGCAAAACAGCTGCCCACATCTACACATGTGGTTCCTCACTTTGACAACTGCAAAAGGCTCATTATTTCTTGCCCTACAGCTGTCCACACCAGTGTTTGGAGAGACTACTCAGAGCAAATGTCTCAGCTGTATAGAAGGATGCAAGATATATTAGAGGAATGCCACAAATGCTACAGTGCCACAGTGGTGTAACAAATCTCTTGGGATTATTAATCAAGTGCTGCTTTGCCTTTTCATAAGCTGCAAGAACTCCACAAGTTGGGGGCATTTGAGTCAGTACTATTGATGGCAGCAGCTCCCAAATGCTTGACCAAGGACAAACCTGGCAAACGTTCCTCCAAAAGCTCCCCTTGAGCCCACACAAAAACTCTGATCAGGAACTTCTCTTTCTACCTGAAACCCCTTCTGTCCTCTGCACACACTCTTCCCTCCAACTGCCAGCATTGCCAGTACTACATGGCAGAGAGACATAAATCCTTTGGAAAAAGAGAAGTGGAATTGGGAATGCTGGCAGGGAGAACACTCCACATACAAGCATGGAGCTTAAGCTACATTCCTGTTTTCCTGACCATTTTTCTTGCTAGATTTTCATTACAGATGAACTCTCTGCAGAAGCTCAGATCTTGGCTGCTCAGTTTAAAATCCAAGATAGTTTCTGTGATGGTACCATCCTGCATAGGAAACACATGAGCAAGACCCTTTCAACTCTTACACGTTGTTGGTCTGTCCTGCTCCAAGACCAGACAGGGCAGCTGAGGCACCCCTTAGAAAGTGATGGCTGCTTGGTAAACATCCTTCCTGTGAGCCATCACGAGGAGGGCAGGCAGACTGGAGAGGTGCAAGGGAACGGGTTCATGCTGCCGTGCAGTCACAAGGTCAGGAGGGTCTTCACAGCCCCAACATGCTTCTTTCCCTCTCTGCCTGCCCTTTCAGCACATGGCTGAGGGAAGAGTACAGACAAGTGAAGCATCTGCTCTTTGGCATACCAATGGCAACCCTGCCCTTGCTGCCTGCTAAATTCATCTCTCCCTATCGCACATTCCCTGCTGCTACTCGGAGGTGAACAGATCAACAGAAACAAGGTCACAGCTGCGCATACTCTCTGTATGTGGCACCTAACCCAGAGCGCAAATACTGCTTGGGAGAAGTGACACTGGCAGGTGCAGCAGTGTCTCTGATCGCTGCCCTAATGCCAGAATGTGTTCTGGCATCCTGTAGCTAGACCTGCTGAAAGCACTTGCCACAAAACCAAAGCAGGAAGCTGCTTAAATGCTGATATTTGCCGTACCTTCCATTAGGCTGAAAACTAGGTGGGTTAGGGCCATTTTGTTACGACTTGCAATACTGAGCACAGCAAGGCGTTGGTCTCCTGGTGGAACCTTTGCCCACCCCAGCAATAAATAACAGTGGAAACAATGACTTGCTACAAATGGAAAAGTGGGCTATGATGCCAAGAGTAAATAAGCAGCGCTCTCAACCTTTCCACAGCTCCAAATGTGTTCAATCTGCCATCTACTGGCAGCTGCTCACCTTATCCTTCCACAGAGCCCAGGAGGGAAATCTGCAGAGCCCTGCATTTATCATGCCAACATACAATGTGCAGCATAATTTCTAAATTTTTGTTCTGGGATGAAAGACTAGGGATTTGCTTCCCAGAATGTCATGCACATAAACTAGATCCCTGCCTGGCTAACAGCAAGTCCCAGTTTGTGGGTTTCTGAGACAGAAATGAGGTGGCAGAGTAGGGCAGTAGCACTTAAAAACCACACACACACTCCCCCCTCCAGATACTGTAGGAAAACACTGCTGTGAACACCTCCAGAATTAACCAGCACAGCAGGAAAGGCTCTATGGCTGGCCTCACCTCTGTATCATCGCTGTAGATGTAGTATAGGACCCGGATGAAGATGTCTTCTGAGATGTTGTGGAGAGTCACCACAGGGATGCTGGGCTGTGTCTGCAGCTCCTCACTCTCACTGAAATGGTCTTCAAGAAGGGCTTTGAAATAATCACTGCGACCACAGAAAAATGCCTGGAGAGGGAAGAAAGACCAAAACACTAGCATCTTTCTCGCTGCACCAAACCAAACAGCACCACGAACCAGCTGTCAGAGCAGCTCAAAGATATTTTGGAAGTTCAGGCTCTGTAACTCAGATTATCCCTATATTTTGAAACTGCACCTGCAACATTTTTCCATACCTTTTTTCTATCCATGCCTACCCTCAGAACACACACACACACACATACACACAAGGGTTTGTAAACTTAAGAGATTCAAAAGCAGTATGGCATTAGGGCAGGAGAATAAGTTAAGCTTGGATCTCAAAATGCATTCTTACTGCTGTTTACTTGCAGATCAAACATTCCCCTCTCTGGACACTGAGCTCACAAGCCAGCAATAGGAGATTTTGCAGCTGTGAATGTTGTAGCTGAATCCGTAAGTTTATCGCCTCACCTCACCAGCTGGGTTTTCTGTTTTGTTAAATGCTTTAAAAATAGTTTCCAGCTGCAAGAAGACTTTTGATTTTCCAGCTGATGAAGCAATGCTGCTTCTGCAGAGCGTATCCAGCACTGTATGGGTGGGGGACACAGTGAGACTAGATATATGGCAAAAAGGGAGCAGAATGAAGTGTAGCACAAGCACATACCTTATGGCACAAAAAGTTGTAATCAGCCACCCGGAAACACACGTCGGGACAACTGTTAAAGTTGTCAGTGCTGTCAAATGGCAGTTCTCCAAAACCAACCTAGGAAGAGAAACCAGAAAACCCTGCCTTTAACATTCATGCTTTAAACACACTCAGGGTCACAAGTTTGGACTTCTTGGTCTTCCCAGAAGCAACCATCCATCTGTTCCTTCAGCACAGTGCAGAGCACCAGAGATGCTTTGAACACAGATTTCGATATGTGGAACTCGTGTCCTTGCACTCCTGATAGAGGTATTCCTGGTACAAGTTACAGCTGCCTCCCTTATCCATGGAAATTCCCTGTCCCTCCATACACCTCTGGAAAGCATTTCTGTGCCACCTAACAAGGCAGATAACCAAGCGGAGGTGAAGTTTACTTCATGTAGTGGGTATCATAAGCATACTAGAGCTTAGGACTAGCCCTTTACAATGTAAGTGTACAGGTAGATGTAGTAATGTATAGATTACAGAGATGAATACACCAGTTTGCAATGGTTTGGCAACAACTACTGCCTCACTTGAATAAGCCAACATTTGTAAAACACATTTTAAACTTCTTATTTGGTTTTCAGGCAAAGATAGCTTTGTTCAGTATTAATACTCTAGTGATTATTTTAACACCAACACACCTCCTCCCAGTCCTGCATGCCAATAAAGACAGCACACACACAAAAAAATAAAGTCTGTTGGCCTTATGTTATTTTAAAGTCACACTCCCAAATATTTTCACTTTCACCTAATCCTATATACAGGGTATTTAAATTGTAAAAAAAAGTTTATATTCACAGTCATATAACCATGACAATCAACCTCTGGAAACAAAAGTTTCCCTTGATTCTTGTTTTCCAAGCACATGCCCCAGGGCTGCCTGGGCCAAGGAGCTTATTACCACTGTCTCTCATGCAGGAAAGTTACACCCCAAGTTTGCCTGTGCGAAAATCCTGGGCTGACCCTGAAGATCAATCTCCCAATCACAGACTACCTGAGTACCATTTCCAACACACCTGCCTCCATCCTAACTGAAAGCAATGAACTTTCAGCTTTACTGAGGAGCCAGATGCCCCCTCCCTCCCAAACTACACAAAGACACAGCCTGCAATACACTGGGTTGGTGCTCTCAGCCAAGCTCAGTTCGCGTGCAGTGGCGTTTCTCTCACAAAACAGGTTCTAGGATGTGGCAAGACACCAAGCTGGCAAAAGCTCACACCGCCACTGAACATGGCAATCTGGACCATGTGCCAGGCTCTTTGTCTGTCCACAGCAACATTTGGCAGCTTCGGGTGCCTAATCAGAGGAGAGTAAGCCCAGCTGACATTCAAACTGTGCGCATGGCTGTCACAGTAATACTGCTGCCTCTCCCTAGCACCTCTCCCCTGCGAGCCCTTCCCCATCGGGGAACTCCTCTACCAGAAAAGATGCAGCAACTCAAGGAACACTCCGCACCCGATCTATTAGCTGCTTTTCATACAGCTGTAACACAAAGGGCACCTCCAGCACTGAAGATGAGATCACCTGTAGATTCCCCAGGCTGCTAGTTTGCTGTTGCATGTCTCATGTTTCAAGGCAACCAACATGCTGCAGCCTGGGATCTGCAACCACACTCCGTGGCATCCCATGACAAAGGCTAGTAGGCATGACCCAACTGCCCACCCCGTTTGCCTTGCTGCTATCCCCACCCTAAGCCCACAGCTTCCAGGTCCTCTCCCAGAAATTCTGACATGATTTTCAAGGCTACAATTTTGCAGGCACATTGCAGGTAAAACTAACCTAGAAACAGGCTTTGATAAGATGCCACTCTTTGTGGCACAGGAATTTTAACTGAGACAAACTCCACATCTGCTACGTGCACCCCTTCTTTGCTCCCCTTTCATTGTACAAATGCAAATCTTTAAAAGGAACCCATCCCTTTGGAATGGACATGGAAGTTGTGTTTGTCTCAAGAGTTTGTCTCCTGAATTACAAACTCCACCAGGCTCAATTTCCTGCTTCTAGCCTTGCCTGGTCCCCACTCTGATGCTCAGGTTTACAAGGTAATTTCCAATTCCTACTACAAAAGCAGGTTCAAATCTTTGTCTCTTCTATTCAGCATGAAGTAGCTTTGCAGAATTTTCCCTTTTACTCCCCTTAAGTCTCTATTATTTCTACTCTCCTGCCTTGTCATGCTTGAGGAATTTCATCTCCCTTTCAGCATCTCCTTGCAGAAAACTGGCTTATTTCTCCCACCACCCCATTCAGGCGACCTCCTTAGCATAGCCCTGTCCAGGCAAAGCACAGCTGCCAAAGTTAAGTATGTTACCCTGGAAGCATAAAACAGTCTAGCCTACGAGGTGCAAGCACATTCACAATAACTCGTTCACCACAGAGAAATGTTCTCCACACCTCTATAGCGTAAGACTGCTTGAACATTCACAGGATCTTCCAGCCATCACTTGTGGAGGGCCAAGTCTTTGCTGCTATGAATTTGTTATTAGCGCTTAAATAGAAGTGTTGCTGGAGGCAAACACATACAAAACAAATCAGTGGCAGCAATTTGTACCTTGGCCAGATTATCTCAACAAGAAAACTGTAAATAAATTACAGCACAAAATACCAGGGTTAGTGATCCAAGAGAAGATTACCAGCCCATAACCAGATGCAAGTGGATTGGATTTAAAAAAAAAAAAAAATTGGACACATGTTGTAAATAGTTCTGTTAATCTGCCTCTGCCAAATGGGCAAAGCAAAGCACAGGAATAACTCCCATGGACAACCACGCTACACAGGTGCCAAGACAGACAAGATGGACCTATCTACGTGTTTTCAACTGATCTCTCTACGCATTACAAGATTTAGCTTTACCCCAAAAGTGACAAATGGTCACATTTTTTTGCAGCCACACCAAATGTCAATACAGATGGAGAGAACAGTATTTATTTCATGGCAAACTCTGATCCATTTGAGTCTGATTTCATCTTGGTTTGGAAAATAAGATTTCAGTTACAAGGTAATGAAAAAATATCTACAGGGAAACAATGTGCTTACAGTCTCATATACTGGAAGCCCTGGAGTCTCTAACTACTCAGAGGTCACCTGGCAGACACAAAATGAAGAGCTAGGCAGACAGACAGTGGAAAGCCACATGGTTTTTGACAGTTGCCTGGCTTTTGATGGTATTTGACTTAAATCTGTCACTGCTAAATTTTATTGCAACAAACCAAAGCAGCAGCTGTTGTGGTCAGAAAAATTCTGGCCATTACTAGTTTAAAACAAAATAGAGACAACAACCACACTTTTAAAAACAAACACTGAAAGAGAAAAGGCTTTCAAGTATAAACAGGAATGAGAAACAACATACCAAGATTACAAATGTGCTTAAGACTTCAAAGAATAGACAGTTCTCACTCTATAAAAACTAATAAATGAACTGTGATTGGATATCAAATGTTAATTATTGTTTTAGTCATATAGCATATTACTGAACTATGAAATTGGGATGCATAGAGTTTTCTGCATCATTCAAATATCAAAGACATTACACACAAATTATTTGTTTATAGTGAAACAGAAAGTTGTATACATCCCTATTTCATGCAATATGGCATTACATGACATGCAGCAGCTCAGAATGTCTCTGGCCAAATTCTGATCCTTACCTGAAATGCCATCAAGAAATGCTGGCTTTTATCCAGAAGCCTATTTTGTTGTGCAGAGGCTGGAAAAAATATGTTTCTCTCAAGAACACAGATGTAAATGTACGTGACTATTCAGTTGTCCCTGCCATTTTTGGTTACATAGTTTGTATACCATTCCTTGTATGGCATCAAATCCTGTAAGAATGAGGATATGTGATTCCTCTGTCCTAGACAAAGATGCCTAATTCATAGAATTTAACAATTTGTAAACATTAGGACGAGGTATAAATGGCAATAGGATGAAGAGCTTTGTTCATATATTCTTTAGAAGTTAAAAAAAAAAAAGTCCTAGAGAGAGGAAAACGTGAATCTCTTAGAATTTACCAGGCTTAAACAAAGTGCTTAAACAAAGCACCCACATTTGTGGATGACATACAAACTCTCTAGTGAGCAGGCGTGTGCCCATGCCCTCTTCACTTTTACAGCCATAACAAGTCTAATGCTGCTGTAACTGCCTTCGCTCTGCTATATGAACACAGCAAGAAAACCACAGCTCACAGATGCATTCACAATGCTGTCAGATGACCGTATTATTCCAAGTTTCATATTTTTCTTCCAGCTCCTATTCTGCATGAGAGAATTAAAAAGGAAGTGTTTCTAACCCTTCAGAAGAAAGCTTAACCTGACAGGAGCACGACATCAAGGTCTGGGAACAAGCCATCAAACAGAAAGCATTCTTTTTATTTGTGAAGTGTGACTTAAAATTTATGTAAATCTCACTGTTTTGAGGGCCACAATCCTTTTTTAGTTCTTGAGGAAGTAAATCTGAGGCTTACTTATAGTATCACCTCCCTTTAAAGCTTGCAAACATACAGAAAAGCATATTGAAATCCACAAATAAGTACATGGTTATTTGGGAGAGGCAGGTTACGTAGGAAAGATTTCTGCATTGGTAGATGGAAACTTGATGGAGAAAAACTCCCTCTATATAGTGCTCAGTACTCAGAAAAATATGTCTGCCAAAACCCAGTACAAAACACACCGGCTTATTACAGGTAAGAAACCTTATCCAGCAGGTCAGTCACACACTCAGGCACACACCACACACGCTCTCTGCACCAGGCAGGTCTATTCGGCAGAGGACAAAAAGAAAAAAAGGCAATAAACTTTGCTACATCACTCAGTCATGCAACCTCCAGGCACAGCAGCCACCTAAAGTGAGTTCATATTATTAACTTCAGTGCTTTGTACTGGACAAAAAGAAAAAAAGGACAGACATAAGAGCAAAGTGAATCTGCTGATATTACAGAAAACAACAGATGCAGGGAGAATGAAGACCACGAATATTTATGCTGTTCTCCTGCAACTGGGAGCAAAGATCCACATATCTGAGCCTAACTAATAATACCGATGGTATTTTAACATAGTAATCATCAACCTGTGGTCTGTGGGCTACTTCTAAGGGTCAACAAGATGTAGTTATGAAAAGCAAATCTATTGTCAGAGGGACTCACATTTCTGCTGGAAATATTTTCAGGATTTGAAAGCACCTCTCCACTGAAAGGTGTCAGTTCCTACCAAGCAAGCCCAGCAAGCCATCTTCCATCTATATGTCCCTTCAGGTACCAATGCCTGCTGATAAAACACTTCTGATACTCAAGAAGGATGGCGGAAAGAAGGAAACATAGCTGGGGGCCAACTCTTGTCTCACTGTAGTCAATGGGTAAATCCCCACCAACCACATGGCAAGGTTTTTGCTTACAGAGATCCCTGTTGGGGGAAAAAAACAAGGGAAAGGACCAGTATTGACAGCCTCATCAAAAAATTTTACAGCGTTTCCAAGCAATAAAAGGCTTTCAGCATTTGGAGCACCAGCAAACAAGTGAGCACTAAATTCAAATAGAGAGAATGTGACTGAACACATGTGAACACACATCACAGCCCCAGAGACCAGAAGTAGTATAAATGCTCCCTACCCGCAGTTCGGCTGGCAGGGCGCAGTCTGCTAGAAGAGCCAGATCTTCCTGCAGCCGGCAGTTACCTGTGGGCTCAATCGTCAGCACTTTCACACAGGTCCCTGGCTTGGAAGAGACTGGAAGAAGCAAAAAACAAGAGAGTAGAGATGCCTAAATTCCTCTACAAACATTCTCTCCCAGCCTGATGAAGGGGAAGCAAAATACATGATCATACTTTTGTGGTCTTGCTATGACTGAAGCTGCTGTGAAGCTCATTGAAGCCAACCACCCAAAATCAAAAAGAGCGACAGCCTGCAGTATGCCCAGCTATTGCGTTACAATACAGCTGCCATCACAGCCTTTCATCTTTCTGGCCACCTCCCTCCCACAGTTCCCTACCCTAGGTTTGTTCTCAGCTCAGCATGCTTTGGGGTGAGGACCGGAGCATGTAAGTCATTCAAGAGTCCCTGGAATATAGGGAAGCATGTGAAAAAACAGAGTACCACTGGAAAATGCAAACTGGTGGTGAGGAAGGCTTGAGATACTGTTGGGAGCCAGAGAGATGCAGAGTTAACTCTCAAGGACAAGAGAGTTAAGCGGCTCCATGCTGAAGCATTCAGAAGAATTTCTGACAGGCACGATTCACTTCATTAAAACCCCTTGCAGGTGAATCACACCACCTTGAGACCTCATTTTCCCTGACATTTTGTGCAGCATTACATGAGCTCCATCAGATGACTCCACTGGGCTGTGGGCGAAACAAGACTACGATGTGCTACAAAACAAGTTCTCCACCCCCTCCTCCACATTACCGCTGCACTCTTCAGATATGCCACCACTGTACCTCTAACGGGCTGAATATCCCAGAAAGATACTGGAAAGGGAAGGATAATTTACCAATACAAGACAGCCAGGTACCATCATTGCTACACATGGAGCTACACCAGCAAGGAGACAGGCTGCTCTATTAGCACTAAACGCTACCTGCAGATAGATGACAGAGTAAATAAGCCAAGAGGAAACGTGGCACCAGCACAAACAAGACTGAGTGCATTTTCTCAAAAAGCCCTGTCCACTTACAGACCAGCGTGAGAGAAGGAAATTTCTCACTGTGCAATCAGAAATTCCTTACGGCAGAGAGAATCATTTATATTTGTGTAGTGCCTGTTATAACAGTCGCCAAATCAATCAGGCTCTCTAAGCGCTAATGGACCCAGCAAGTTTTAAGCAGTAGTCAAGGGAAAGAATCTACAAAGCATCTGTGCACTTTCATAGTGACAGGAAAGAACAGTGATTTGTCTGAGAAGCACATCTATCACGAGACGTTTTAGACACTTCATCCCTCAAATCCAAGAGCACAGTGTTCAGTATCACAAGTAACCCTCTTCTAACAGAAACAATAAAAATCAAAGTGACAGAACAGGAATAAGCTGTTGGCTGCAAGCAAGCAGCAGGGACCATCACCTTCTTGCAAGAAACAGGAATGAAGGGTTTTCTGAACAGAGCAACATAAACAATGCAAGGACCTGGAGGGAATAACTCAACTATGGTTGAAAATGGAGGATTTTGTCCTTCTTCCCAGTCTAGCCCAGCTGTATTGCAATCAGTGTCACCTACCAATTCATCAGCTGCGTTTGTTTCCACTGCTCAATACTTCTTTGTAGTCTTATGTTTCAATTGAGCCAATGCACCACAAAAAACAAAAGCCACAAAAAAACCAACAAACTCCCAAACCTTTCCAAAATGATGCCACATTCAGACACCTGCTTTATACCTCCTCTTCCCAATGCCACAACAAGCTATAACCACAGACTCTGTACATCCAGTGCCTCCACTACAAAGGTGAGCATCACAAACCTTGCTCTTTTTGTGCTAAAAGTTGTAGAAATAACTGCAGAACACTTGTTTTCAAATACCTCCTCTTCTAAAGGAGGCATTATGGCTTAATCTGGACAAACACTGTCTGAGCTCTTCCAAACACTGCAACAGTTTTTTCTTGTTATAGACACAATATACATGTGTGGGAAAACATGCAAGCATTCACACTGAAGGCTCTCTCAGGTGCAACAGAAGGCACTGGGTCATCTTCTTGAGGGTTTTCCTAAACTAGTGCTTTTGAAATGCTGATTAACTCTAGATAATGAGATTGCAGAGACTGCAATTACCCACTGGAGCTGCACAGGCTTGAGTTCATGTTGTTTTATTAGGCACGTTTCAACTTTATAATACAGATGCAAGACATGACCCTGCTCTGCAGACCTGAATCAGACATCTATTCCACGGAAAGCCCTTTGGACAAACACGAGATACCTAACGCACTAGAAGGAACAGCAACGCTTTGTCAAGTGCTAGACATGATGTGATCCAAGATCTTTCCCCGTTTTTAACTCCTATAATTCTTATATGTATTACTTTCTGGAGAATCAAGTTTTCCTGACTTCCACATGAGATCTGATATGAGAAACAAACTTTTAACAGACTTATCAGCAGTTCTGTCTATTCATTTGAATCCAACCTGTCATAAATAAAAATGAGGCCTAGTACTTCCGTCAGTGCCTTACTGATTATGTCTTCTGTCAAGCCTTAGAAATTAAGAACAACTATTCCCTCCCAAAGAACACAGAAATTAAATTATTTGTCTGGCACCATCCAGGAAGTTTGTATTACATTTCCAAGTGGAGCTTGTATCTGAAACTCCCAACCGACCTGCAACGTTAATTCACCATTTTCCATTTTTCAACTTCACCAAGAAGTCAGCATTTTTGCAGTTCATGAATTTAAACACTGTACTTCACGGTCCTTAGGTTGCCAGTGAGGTTGCCACTATGCAATGGCTTCAGACAGCTAGCAAGCTATCCACCTTATTTTCCTCCCACAATCTAATATGAGATTTTAACTTGACGCATTAAGGTGGAATGTTCACGTCCAGGGTCTCAGCTAGACCCTAGGAGAAAAAAAAAAAAAAAGAAAAAATGGAAAAACAGGGAGGGGGGAAGATCTCCAGCATCCCACTGGGTTACTCTGATTTCAAAACATGCCGCAAGATAATTCTGTTACCTGATTGTCCGAGTAGTTTTTATTTTCTAGTCATGGTATTCACCACCACTCCCCTTTTCCACCACTTATTTAATACACAAACTGGTATCTTACACTACTTGTAGCAAGAAACAAAGAACTGCATTTCTCATCTCTTCAGATGCATGATTACATTTGTGCTTACACGGCTGAGGTAAGACTTGATACAGCTTCCACGATGAAACGACTTCCACCCTGGTCTACATGGGAACAGCTACACTGTGGTAAACTAGTACCTCACCACCACCAAGCAATTGCACACGCCTAAGGAGAGACATACACATGGTAGTATCTTTCATGTGATGTGCAGGTGACGAATTTGAGCCAGAAGTACTGCCTCTATCTGTTAAGCCCTGCAACTTCAGGATGCTGAATAATCCGAACTCATAATTCGAAAGAGAAAGATGGAATAGCTACACTCTTACCTCTCAGATCAAAGAGGACAACGCTACTGACTTAAAAGCTACAGACCATGTTCTCTTCTCAAACCAAAATTAACTTGACTGAAGTAAAGGAGTTAACTTAGAGCATGAAATGAGAATCAGATATTTTCAGCCTGAAGGTTTTGTTACAAGATAATTTTTTTTACTTAATGACTAACACCGCTTTGCCCTACTTGTGGTTTGATTCTTATTCACGTGTCCTTTAGCTTGAACTGAGGAGATCAATGATAAACTCCAACTGTTGGTTTTCATGCAATAAGCTGATGTCATGATTAGATCACAAGCTCTCTGGATAACAAAAAGCACTTAAATAGAGGATTGCGTCATTTAAGGTTTGGCTCATACATGCATTATAAATACACATATGCTTTCAGAAATACTCCTCTGCTCTTAAAGTGTTGTATCTCTCTCTGCATTCATTTTGAACCAATTATCAAATGTTTTACTTTGGTTAGAGGTCAGATAAATGCAGAAAAGGACTTCTAATAGTACATATTATATCTCCCCGGGGATTTAAACAAGCTCTCTGCTGAAAGGCACTTCTCAATATACCTCACAGTGCTCCACTGAATGTCTGGCAACCACGGCAAAGTCCAGCTGCCATGGCTGCTCTGCTATAATGCGAACATTCAATATAAATTAGAAACATTCATGTGTCAGAAACCACTACAGCTGCCCTACAGAGAGCCCATAACTGAAGACTATCATGCAAACATGGGAATTCCACAACAGAATCATTTTCTAGGAGCACCATGAAACATCCACCATCACACTTTCCTCTTTCTCCCTGAAAGGACACACAGGCACAGAAGAGACAACAGCAAGTAAAACGCTTACCAAATTCATAGACTTTTTTACATTTGGTCTCCAAATCGTCTATGAGGTCCTGCAGCCGACACTGCTTCGCTAACCTCTTGCAATCATTTACATATTCTACGTCGATATCAAGACGACCTGCCAAGAAGAAATGCAGTAGCTCTTTTAACCCATACCACTTAGGTCTAAAAACGGCAAAATCGGGGACTGAAGGCTTGATGGCAGAGAAATTAGACACATTGCCTCACTTCTCAGCATCCACTTACAACTCAGTCCAAGAAGCTGACTCGGTACCACACTGCCTGCCACTTCAATGAATCTCAGTCTGGCATCTGATTCACCTTCCCATCTTCCAGTGTCTACCCTAACAGCTTCATTCAAGAGGCCGAAGAGCGAACAGGCTTATACATAAGATGTCTAATTCCCCAGAAAAGAATAAGAAAGCAGCACAACAGCAGCAGGCATGACTGCCACCATTGGTTATCTGGCTTAGGGTGAGAAAAGACGTTAGGCTCACAAGCTGTCATCCCAGAACCTTTTACCATCACTGAAAACGTGGCAAGGACCGTTTCTGAAAACACTGGACTGAGGAAGGAAACCCGTGAAGAAAAAGTTAGTTTCTGGCACCACCTCCTGGCCTGAAATAGTTCAGCAGATAGCATGCCTACAATACAACACTTGGCATTTCCACAGAAGGTTTAGGATCAACTTCTGTTCAGAAAAAAATTATTAGAAAGTAGTCAAATCATTCAGCACACATTGCTCAGGTCTGCCAGACTGAAAATGTCCTGCGTGGGAACCTGGCTTTTCACCAGCTTAGGGGATTGTTATCCCAGACGACAGATTTACTTTCCTTAAGTTAAAAATACATTCTCCACATCCATCCAACCAATCAACCCAAGCCGATTTTTTCTTAATTGACTATATAGTTATTGGCAGGACAGCAACTGGCAAAAGGTACAAACAACTTGGAGGAGATGGGGATTGCTCACATTCTCCCCTTCTGCCAGCAGAGAGGGTGTGTTGGCAACTCATGCACCCAAACACGGCTGTCTGCAAGCCTGCACTGCCCAAACAGTGCTATGGCAGAGGCACAGACACCTGCCCATCAGCCATGTATACATACATGAGACAGTAAGTCATTTACCTGTGTATAGATATTGCAGAAGAGAGCCAAAGGCTGCTGGATTAATCTAAAATAAAACATAAGGAGAAAGTTACCTTTGGAATTCCCAGGAACTTAATAACAATCTTGAAAGTTGACGGAATACAAACACAATCATGGTCAAAAAAACCCCCACCTAAGTAGCAACTCAGACACTGCACCCAATTTCCTTGCTCCTTGCGTAACTAATGCTGCCACTCCACCTGGCTTACACAGCTCTTTAAATGTATCAACTGATACTAGTCCATGTGCCTGGGGGTACAGGACCTGACTAAAGGAGGCGCTCCAGAGACACGTTATAATACAGGCTCTGTAAAATCCAGCCTTTCACTGGTTGCAAACATTTCCAACTCTTCTTTATTTGAGAGGAAAGACATGTTCTTGTACAAAGAGAAAGGAGAGACATTACTTAATGCCCTGAGAAACGGGAAGTGTGGTTGTCATGCACAGCCACAATGAAGCTCTAGAAACATATGCCCGAGTATTGGTGATTAATGGATGGAATGCACGTATGGCCTATTTAGTTCTTGCTACAAAAGCAACAAAAGGGATTCAATTAGTGCCAATTATGGAAGTGATGTCTTCACTACAGACCACCTGTCCACCAGGAATTAGACAGACTCAACTCATCTCACAGAGAAGCCGTGACGCAGCTGGCAGATGGTAACAGCTACCTGCTACTGCAATTAATTAAGATATGTTTGAGCCCATGACAGATGAAACAAAGGAGAAGTACGCAGTCTACAGCTTTTTGTTATCTGAATAAGATGCTATTTTACTGCATAAAGTGCCTCCACAAGCCCCTCTCCTTGACTAGGGTCATTCTAAGCTCCAGGAGCTATTCACTGTGGAAGTTAAACATCAAACTGTCCTTCCTACTCAATTTTTTCACCCAGTTGAAACAGGAAAAGAAAGGAAAGAGCTGGAAGCACAGCTTTGCTCACCAGTGGATGCTTCAACACTATCATGTTCTTCCCCTTCCATTTGGTCTCAAACATTTCTGCAAAGTAGGCGCTGCGAGCGCTGAGAATGCAGCGGTGGGCACAGAAGGATTTGCCATGAACAATGAAAACGATGTCGCTTTGGTAACCCTGCTCCAGCAACCTGTAAGGAGCAAAGAGAGAGGAAAGTCATTGCAGAATGAGAAAGGAGAGAATGGAATAAAGCTGGTGGGGGACATGGTACAATTAGGTCTAAATGAACAAATACCTCTGGACATTGCAGTCTCTCCCTGCCCAGTTAGAAGGCCAGCACAGGGCCTGCTACTTCACACACTAGACTGGCATCTCTCACTCCCTCCAATGACTCAAAGCAGTTTCATTAGCGCAAGAGGAAGGCTGGAGAATGAAACCTTCCTGCCTCAAGTGAACCAGTGAACACAGGGAACAGATTTTAAAGAGGACCTAGTTGCCCCCAAACACATCTCTTAAATTGTCAGATGACAAAAAGCCTTACAGAAGCACACACTTTCAAAAAGAATTACCTCACTACAAAGTAAGGTGGAACTTTCCTGCTCTCTGGGCAGTGTGCATGTCAGTGTGCATGCTTTACCCGTGCAGCAAATTGGAGGACTTGATAGCACCCACCCTCAGAAGAAGGAAGGATGTTACCAGCATGAAACGCAGGCAATTACCACATAAGAGATGAAGCCTTGTTTATGATTGCATGCCCATACCCTCATTCTTCAAAAGGAGAAAAAAACCAAGATTGCTACTTCTAGAGTTTACAGCAACCATCACAGGTGCTTCTTAATGCCTATCACCCCTTGCATATATATCCTCACAAACATCCCATCATACGCCTTCTAGAGAGCGGGACTGGTGCACACAAAGGTGCAGAATCACACAAGAAGATCATGTCCAAGCAAGGTCTTGAATGCTGATCTCAGTCTCATGCCACTAGAACATCCTTCCTACTAGTGTCTTGCCCAAAACAATAGAAGCAGTTAGGTGTTTATTTTTTGCCCCCCACTATTGTACTTTGTTTCAATTTTAACACAAGTTCTCTCTGGAATGAGAGCACATTTTAGTTTTCGTGTGCGCTCAACCCTGCATTGTCTGAGCCACAAACTCATCAGGGGAGTGACAAATCACCCTGCAAAATTCTACTTTCCTGAAAGGCAGAGTCTGATTTTACTCAGATAAATGAGCTTCCTTCCTCCCCTCTCTTCCCACAGTTTGAGAAATTAGGACTCTGTACTAATGGGAGGGTTGTCAGATCTTTCTAGGACGTTTTGCTCTCCAATTTTGAAGACAGAGATGCTGAAACCTTGTTTGTTGTTTTTTAAGTCAATCCAATGGGAAGGAAAAAAAAATGTTTGTGTAATAACATCAGAACTAGCAGGGTAGAAAAACAGCAAGAAAAGAAGACTAACACTATTCCTCTAATCCTAGAGCAAATTAGGCTTCTTCTCAAGCTCTAGGCTAAGACTAAAAAGTGTGACAGGCAACTTTCAGAAATATCTTTAGATTAAAAAATGAACAAAATTTTTAATGAACAGATTTTTAACAAACAAAAAGAAAGCACTGAGCACTGTCTCTATATGTCAGTTTAAGGCTTCTTAAAGTGCTCTATCTCAGAAATGACACACCTATTATCACTGCTGGAAACCTCAGCTCGCAGGCTATAGCACTTCAGGCCTGAAACTTATTTCAGTTAACATATTATCCTAAATTGCTGATGTGGTTTTAGTGATCTGATTTTGGTTTGACAGTCAAGGATGACAGTCTAATGCTTCTGCATTATAAAGACCAGCTTTCTGTTGGCTCTGGAGTCTGTACTGCAGGTTGTACTGACAGACTGTACTCCAGTCTGTCACTGGAGGCTATATTTTAAATGCATACCTACCTGGAAGTCATCCCTTGGGGCACAAAGGAACATCCCTTAGGAAGCTCTACATGCCCAGGAATGAGATAAGGTACTGACCAGTTGCCTTTCAAATTTGACCTTAACAGAGAGCTTGAATATCCAGGTTAACAGCTAAGGAAGGATGACAGAATGCATTGCACACGGAGCTGCCTCATCTGCTTACCGCTGTAGGAAGACATCATAGTAGTCTCTCTTCATGCACTTTGCTGTGATCTGTTTGTACTCCTTCAGCAGACGTCGGATGGCATCACTCAAAGCTCCATACAAACAACGTTCCCCATCGAAAGTGTTTGCCTCACATTTCGCTCCTGCAAAATGATCACAGGTACATGCCAGCCGGTAGAGTTACATCTTTCTCAAGTGTCCCCGAATGGTGTCTAAATGAGTACGACTTTTGGATGGTGACATGTTTCACTGTGATGCCCTAAGCTACTGAGCATATTTACAAAAACTAAGCTCCTCTTACATGTGTATAACCTAAAGCTGTTCTCCCATAGCAAAATCCCTTTCTGAAGAAGTCATGACTCATTTAAACTGATCCTGGTAATAAGCCTCTCAGCATGGCTCCAGCAGTGTTCTGGGAAGAAGAATCTTACTGTACAAAGAGTACAATCACTAACCAGACTTTTAACAGCTCCTCCTAAAAGGCATTTCTGCCTTGCACAAGGTGAGAGATGATTCTTTAGGTTAAGACTCTGCTAGAAATTTGGGGGGCACTTGCATTTTGCTGTTTTAGATATACAAGTGATTGATTAAGATGCTCTGAATGCAGTGGAAGAGACAAACCTTTTGAGATCTGACTCTGCACTCCGATTCCTCTGCCAGAACACAGAACATCACCACTGCCTAAGGGAATTTGGGTGCTGGGAACCAAAAGGACAGGCACTTTGCCTGGAGAGTTTGTCTTGCTTTGTTTGAGGTTAGTAAAAGCCCTTGCATTTCACCTTTAAGTCCTGCTTACAAAGCAGGACTCTCAGAAGAGTAGAAGAAAGTTTTACACAGTTCTTCAGATGAAGTACAATTCTTATATCAGCATACTCCCAACAGCACTGCACCCTTACAAAACATCAGCTATGATTTCAGAAAGTGCTGCCTCAAGTCATCAGAGAAAGCTTCCCTGTAGCAAATTCAAGCAGCAAATGGCCTGTAAAAGGGACCACGAAGACGTGTCCAGGGCTCCCACTGCAGCCTGAGATCACTGATCAGACGGTTGGTTGTAACGGAAGAAGTTTCCAGAAGGGACAGCTAGAAGGATATACAATCCCTACAGACCTGTATGGAGAAAAGTAACACCAGGACACTTTTATGCACCCGTAACCAGGACACTTTTTGCTCACCATTGGCTAGAAGATAGCGTACAAGCTCCTCATGTCCACAGAGGCAAGCATAATACCTGACAATGACAAGAGAAAGAAAATTAGAGATACACTAGGAAGCAAAGTTCAGTGTTTGGGCACACCACAGCATGCAGACCTCAGCACTGAGCCATCCCTGATAAGCTTAGAAGATGACTCCTCATAGGAGCAAGGAATTGCTACTGAATAGCATAGAATTCTGACCCCACCAACAGACTAAGCAGGATCTGTTCCCAGCACTCCTAGGCACTTCTGTCCTGCAAGGAGATCTCAAGGTCCCAATCTGTGTTCAGCACCTTCTGTTCCACCACCAGCTGCCAAATCCATCCTTGTTTTAATGGAGTTCATTTCATGGGCACTCAGCAATTCCACTGACTTCTCAAAAACACTCTTTGCTCCTTCTGTTGTCCGTCTGACTTTGCACACTATGATAACAAGGGAACAGCATCCAGACTGGACATAGAGCAAATCCACCCCTCAAAGTCCTACTTGCAATGAGTTTTGTTTTCTCTTTCACAATCTAAGCCTTTCATGATTCTCTTTCAGAGGGACCTCAAATTGTCCTACAAACTAGGAGAATCCTGTAACCTGCATTGCAGCAGGCAAATGGTAAGTCTACCTTTACTTTGGGAAGTTACTCTGTACTCTAAATATACTGCAGATATCTAAATGCACTTTGGAATTAATATGTGGGTAGGTAAAAAGCTCATATCACCCTCTTCAGCACCAGCATGGTGATTCCTCACTACCTACTGCATGTTCACAGCCTTGCCAGACAGACTGTGATCCCAGAGTCACTTTGCATTTTGCCCAGCCTTCACCTGGAAAGACATGCTAGAATGCCATAGACTTTGAGGAGGAAAAAGCACAGTCAGGCCAAGAACAGACTGCTTAATCCAGGTAATTTGGTCACAAAATTAACCACCCTTCTGAGCACTACTACAACAAGCATCAGTCAGAAGGGGAGACAAAAACATATTTAGCACAGCACCTGCAGAGAAGAGAAGCAGAAATAAGCATCTCCCAAAAAGCAGAACCCAAGAGACATTTTGTAACAGTGCTCCTAGCTGCTGATGCAGAGAGCGGAAAGGAGCTCTGAAAGCCATCCCCTCCCACCCAGCCAGCGCTCTAGGCTGCAGAACTCACAGAGGTGTACTGTCCCATTTATCACGGACATTAATTTCCACATCTCGCTGTTCAAGAAGGTATCTGGAAGAAAAGGGAGAGCAGTTATAACTTCATGCAGCTGCTCGCTCAGTCACATTCTCCTCTTTCAAAAGATGTAACTTTGAGTTTATACAGCAACTTCCAAAGGTATGACAAGATCTTGCATTCGACTTGGGGAGCTGTCAGACTGAAGGAGCATCAGTCAAATCCTTAACCCAAAGAACGGCTTTCTGCAGCACAGCTTGAGAGCTCCCTTCAATCTTAAGTGGTGCACATGGGGAAAGAAGGAAATCAAACACATCTCCTGCTGACCCCTAACAGGGAGCAATCACAAAAGAAGCCTGAGCACTTCAGCAGTACCTTCACAATCTCCAACAATGCTCACAGCATGGATGCTTACAAATAAGTGGCCAAGTTTACAAGGCTGGACTCCCATCTTGCTTGTGGCTTTTTTTGCCACAAGTAACAACATCAGTATCACTCCAGACCACTCTTAATTCCTGCCACTTCCTTGTCCTGCACATTTAGGCTGTATCAAACACTGCCAACATTCCCCCTCTGGCACCTCTAGAAGCCAGCCTTTGTCTTGCACACGAATCTCCTATAGAGCCTGGCTTTTGTCATAGCCAGTAGCCCCAACTACTGCAACAACCGTCTCTCCTAACCACACGCATAAGTCCCCCTCAGCCTTCACAAAGATTCTGAAGTTGTTTTTCTCATCTGCCACATCAGTCACCCCTTTCACTCCCTGTATCTTTCCTGTCTCAAACTTCAGCTTCCTCTGCCCACATTCGAAATCCCAAGCAACTCAGCTCCTTTCTACTCAGCCCTACGTGGTCACCTTGGCCCCTCTGTTTGACAGCATTCCCAGACCAATCATTTCTCCACTATCACTTCTACGCTGGTTATTTTAAACTTCTGCAAGGCCACCTGCAGAGCCCCTTCTTCTACAGTAAACCTGCAATGTACTGCTTGCAATAAATTAAGCTAATGTGAATATACAACCGATAACAATGTTCTCCAGACCTCATCCATCTGCCTGTTTATCCTTCATTAGCAAGTACCTTGAAACAGAAAGGCTCGTTCTGATTATCCAGGAAGATCCACATACTGGGAGCTGGAATAATCAAGAAGGATCAAAAGGTGAAGAGCATTCTTAAACTCAAACCATGAGATGCAGCAGAAGAGCCTGTTGTCAATGCTGAGCCTTCACGTTACAACATCCTTTTGCCCTGCAGACAAGCCCATCTGACTCTTGATCTGAAATGACTGCAGCTAAGCCACACTGCTTTGATATGACCTAGGAGACTTGAAACTTAGCAGGCTCATATTTCTCAGAGATACCACTACAGTCTACAGCACCAGGTGTCTAAATATCCCCATGAAGATTACTTTCCAGAGATCTACCCTCCTACCAGTGCAAATACATTTTCTAACAGTAGAGAAAGAGCAGCTGAAGAGACTTTTGCAAGGACATTTGCCATAGACAACATTCATACCAACGAAATACGCAATAACCACCTGATATTCAGAGGCCTGAATTCCAAGACAGGCAAACCTCATGCAAACCTGACAACATCAGGGAAGGCTCAGTGTGCACCCAGTTCCTCGGGGGGGAAAGCCAAGCGCGTTTACTTATAAAGAAACAATCTCTCCTTTTCACACCCCAGTTACCTCCTGGCACGGCGGCTGCCCCACAGAGACCCAGGGCTGCGAGAGCCCGCCGGTTTAGCGGTCAGAGGAAGGCCGGGAAGGGCCGGAGCGGTCTCAAGACCGTAACGGGGCAGGCAAGGCCAGGCTGCCCCCCGTCAGGCCCGGCCCGGCTTCTCCCGGCTGACTAAAGCGGTTAATGGCAGCGGCTCAGGCCGGGAGACGCGGAGAACATGCCCCCCCTCCCCCCCCGCCCCGGCAGCTCGGCCCCGGCCCGGCTCGCTCACCGCACG